CCTCCTAGCTGGCACCCACATTCAGAGGGCTTGGTTCAGTCCAATACTGGATCCCCAGCTTTATGACTAGGATCTCCGTGCTCTCACTAGGTCAGGTCAACTGTTTCTCCAGCACTGTCTTGGCTCCTTTGCTCATCCCTCCCCCCTCTCCACAACTGGATTTCAGGGGTATGGTTCCGTGCTTAGCTGTGGGTGCCTGTTTCTGCTTTGATCAAGCTCCTGGATGAAGGCTCTAGAATTGGTAACCAAAGTACTCATTAGTCTCATTATAGGAAAAGGGCACCAAAGGCAGCCTCTCCACCACTGCTTGGACTCTTAGTTGGGGTCATCCCTGTGGATCCCCTAACATTTCCCCTGTGTCAGACCTCTCTCTAAACCTGTACTGCTTCGCTCTATCAAGGCATCTCCTTTCTCGCCCTTCTCTATTCCTCCCCTGTCTCAGTCCTCTTGTTCTCCTCCTCCCTCCCCTTCTCCCCTTCCCACCTTTCTTCTCTCTCCACCCCATGCTTCCAATTTGCTCAGGTGTTCTTGTCCCCCTCCCCTTCTTTGAGGAACTATGCAATCTTCTCTTGGGGTTCTCCTTGTTCCCTAGCTCCTCTGGAGGTGTGGATTGTAGGCTGGTAATTCCTTGCTCTATGTCTAAAAATCAAGGGCATTTTTAATGTCCATAATGCTTTGAATACCTATATCTCAGCTAAACTCTCACAATATACTGTTATTTATGAATTACGTATGGGTCTATTCCTTACTTTCTGACATAGCAATGGACTGTCCCAGGGAAAGCAAGCTCAACATGCCTCTGTGTTCATTGTCATTATGCTATACTATAGAGGAGCTCCAAGCCCGCAGACCAAACCCCTCTTCCTCTGCACCCTGGCATTTAGTTACCACATGCTGGGATGGCTAAGAAACATAGACTTCAAATTCATAATTCATCAACTGTCTTATATCATCTCTTGCCTGAAGTATCTTTCAACTTGTATTCTTGTTATTTAACGAATACAAGAATAGTTAATGGCTTCGAACCAAAGTTACAATGTGAAACAAGCTTTCTAATTAGAGTATTCTTAGAATGCAGGAAATTTCATTACCTGATATTGCAGTACATTAACACACACTGCTTGCCAACCAGGAAGCATTAGCTGGCTTCTTGTTTGTTTCTCTATACAATTTCTGACCAGTTCATCTTGATTTATAAAGCCCTGCATAATTTGGAAACTGGTTTTGTTAGGGTGGACCAACTGCAGAACAAAACAGGTCTTTGTGGGAACTTGTTCTGAGTGATCCATGAGGCGGTATAAATGGAAATTTTGTACAGGGTTCACGTGATCAATTGGAGCTACTACAAAATTAACTTGGTGTTTTATATATTAAGAAATGAATGAGGATGGCAGCAAAAAGTATGTGTATTTAAAATACATACATACAGAAAGGGGACAATTCCAGAGAGGTGAGCAAAGACAGACAGACCCTACTTCCAGGAATTGTTCCATTTTGGGCAAAGGAGATGCAATCTTACCTTACACACTCCTATTTGCATCCAAACCTCCTTCAGCAATTTGTTTAGTATACCCCTCAAGGTAGAAGGTCACAGGCTACTGTGCATATATAGATTAAAACTTAGTTTATGCTGGGTGATGCATGCCTTCAATCCCAGCACTGGGGAGGCAGAGGCAGGTGGATCTCTGGGTTTGAGGCCAGGACAACCAAAGCCACACTTAGAAACCTTGTCTTAAGAAACCAAGAGAGAGCCGGGTGTTGATGGCACACGCCTTTAATCCCAGCACTCGGGAGGCAGAGGCAGGTGGATCTCTGTGAGTTTGAGGCCAGCCTGGTCTACAGAGAGAGTGCCAGGATAGGCTCCAAAGCTACACAGAGAAACCTTGTCTCAAAAAACAGAAAAACAAAAACAAAACAAAAGAAACCAAGGGGAGGGGTTAGTTTATAAAAAAGATCAATCCATTCAACAGACTGCTTTCCATGATCTTTCATTTGTTTTGCTGTTTTGAGACAAGTTTACAAGTTTTGCTATGTAGTAGTCTTGGCTGTTCTGGAACTTGGTGGGTAGTCCAGTTTGGCTTGAAACTCATGGCAATCCCCCTGTCTCAATGTCCTAAGTGTAGAGATCACGGGTATACCCCAGCACACATAACTGCCAGATATTTTTTTTTTTTTTTTTGGTTTTTCGAGAAGGGTTTCTCTGTGGCTTTGGAGGCTGTCCTGGAACTTGCTCTTATAGACCAGGCCGGTCTCGAACTCACAGAGATACGCCTGCCTCTGCCTCCCAAGTGCTGGGATTAAAGGTGTGCGCCACCGCTGCTGCCACCGCTGCTGCCGCCGCCACCGCCTGGATAACTTCCAGATTTTTAAAAGAGTAAAATTGCACATACTTAGGAATCAGCTACAGAGAATCAGTTACAGAAAAATTAAATAGTTCTTAAAAGTCAAAATAAATTTAACACATCAAAAGATACTCCTGATAAACATAGAGATAATGTCTTAAAAATACCTATGCTTATCAATCCATACCAGGATATTACAGTGTAATTAACCCAGCTATGAAGATTCTATTGTCATACAAGAAATCTTCCATAATGGAATAACACAACCACAAACAGGAACTGGGTGAGAATTTAGAGTCTTGGAAGGTAGCAACACAAAGTAACTACAACATGTCTCAACATGTAGATGAGCATTTCATTACAAAGTGTCACTTAACAGAAAGAAGATACCATTTGGAAGAGTAAAGAAATTTAAAACAACTAGTAATTTTTCTTTAGGATTTTTTTGCTATGAGGAAATTTTTTTCAGCAATGCTAAAACCAAAACAACTGCAGATGGCGTATTTTATTTCTCTTAATTGAAAAAAAAATCTTAAAGGAAAATGTCTATTCCAACTGCTGCCGACAAGGATCACCACAGATGGGCTTGGCGATCTTGTTTCAGGTAAGTAAGGAGTTTTACTGAGATAGCTACATTACTGCTACTCTGGAAACAGGAACCTTCTGTGTTAATTATATTTAAAATGCTCAGTGTGTGTGCGCATGGGTGAGTACATACATTCCTGTGTGTGTGTGTGTGTGTGTGTGTGTGAGAGAGAGAGAGAGAGAGAGAGAGAGAGAGAATGGCAGAGACAGAAATGGAGGGAGAAAGGGAGAAGAAGGAGGGGGAGGGGGATGAATGTGTGTGTTTGCTCAGGTATACGGGAGGGGAGTGAC